TCTAGAAAGTTGTACCTTTCTCTAAAAGTATAAATCAGTGTGACATTAATCTCGCCTGTTTCAAACTAGTATAAGGTATTGAAATGCATCAGAAGAGTCACTTTTTTTGCTTTATATATGTTGCTAGAAATAGCTTGAATATAGAATAATCTTTCGACACATACCGATTAATTGCTTTTGAAGAAGTAACCAAATCAATTAGGAAAGAAAATGATGTTCACATACAAAAAGATGTATAAAAACTAGATCAGGAGTCAATCTAAATATATTTTGAACTGTTCCTAAGTAGTATGGGATTTGAAAGATAAACATATATATATATATATATATACTGAGGCTAGCTACCATCCGAGAAACAGTACGTATCCACTGTATTTGGACCTTTAAAACGACAACGCCATATGGATTCATCTTTCTCTTTAAATTACATTTAGCATAAAACAATAGATCTGCTTGACTCCACTTGAAAGTTTTGACCATTTTACTATTGGTGATTCGTCACGAATTTGGGCGCTTTTGGTCTCGCAAGCTTCATTTCTCAGCAACTAAATAAGCTACAGCGACGAAATTTTCCAGTGTCTGGAGAAGGTCTAAGGAACAACACAATATAAAATTTTTAAGATCGGATTACAGGTGCCCGAAATACAGCCAAAATACGTCAAAAAAGCAATTGTACAGGAAAGATACGATTTGCTGATATGTATATAGATCATTTAAGTCAGAAGTCACGTATGCAACAACATGGTTTTGTTTTCTTACACTTCTGAAAGCTCCTATGACAGTGTTATCTTAGTAGTATAATTAAACACTGGCTATCTATCTATAAAAACAAAAACGCTAGCAGATGACACATACGAGAGTCAGGTACGCAGCGTTGGAATGGTTTATATATATATATATACATATGTGTGTAAGTAGATCATTGCGAGGCCATTGTATTATTATTGAAGAAGAAACACATTTTAAAGATCTTGGGTTCTGTGAAATTAATTTTTAACCAATTTTTGTTTGCTCCTCTTACTTGACCACTTAACATAAATATTCAAAAAGCTTAATTTTTTATCTCTATTAATTATGAAGATGTACCCACCTTAGGAGTCTAACTTCTTCTCCTATACAAAATATGTTTTTAGTAATTAAAAATTTTATCACCATAAGGTACCAAGTAGACATTGTGGGCTTTTGTACGCTACAAATTGTAGCACAAACATGCCTTGAAAAGCGTATAAGCTAGTGTTGGCTATCATATTCATTATAATAAGTACCATCAATCATGTAATCAAATTTTTTCCTTTTTTTTCTCCTTCCTACTAGTTACAAATCAAGTATCTATCTATACTGTATACTTATTAATTTTGTTTATAATAAATTTCGGCGTATCTGATAAAGAGATTATAAACATATAAACTTCACAACTTTATTAACTTAAATACGGAAAGAAAAGGGTTTTATAAACTCATCTTTAACTGCTGATGACCTTTCTTAAGCGACATCAAGTGTACGAGTTTAAAACTTCAAAACTATTCATAGAGGTATGAACGAATAAAGAAAATGTCGATAAAACTTTGATTTTTCTTGGTCAAAATAACTTAGTTTTAATTAAATGATAGAGATTGATTTATGCAGATCGATAGAGAACGTTTTCGTTGGAACTAGGTCTTCGAATAAAACACTATCAAAAGGTTCTAAAATGATTGATCTATTCAAAAAATGATGCGATCACGCACCTAATGAGTTCTTTTACTACTTTCCATAATACGCTTTTTGTCTGTAACAAAAAAGCACCATCGTGCTGTACTCATCAATCACTCCAACATAAATGATGGGATATAGAGTTTACTACTCATGATGAATTTCCTCTTGATATTCGCTATATTCATTGTAACTTTCATGTCGATGTTCAACAATTTCAATCGAATTTTTACACTGCAGATTAATCAATAAGATTTGACTAAAAGAGATACACAATGAAGAACAATAGTCTGTAAGAAAATTTGCTAGTATTCACAGATCATCATGTATTCTAAGAAAGAGAATTACAACAAAACTGCCTACAAAATCCTATATCCTTTTGCACTTATATAAAGTGGTGGCTTACTTCGAGTATTTATCAAAAGTAAAGAGCATGAAGCTGTTTAGTTCAGTTTAACCAGCCTATTGTTCCTGTATCAAACATTCACTTCACTAATGTGCACTCGGCGACTTACTCATATTTTACGAAATGATATTTTGTTTCAACTCGTGACTTTACCTTCTATTGTCAATTTTCGCTTCTGCCAGATAATGGTACAGAGAAGCAACATTGAGAGCAAACATATTATTCTTTGCGGCAGTCATGAATTTAGTTATTTTTTAGATTCATGTATATCAACAAATAATGAACAAAGGTAAACTGGAAATTGGCCAAGCGGAATTTGGACGTTGGGATTTGGCCGTAACAAGTTTTGATCAAATTCCAGTGGAAATTGGCCAATAATTTACATTCTAGTGTAATTTAGCCATTCTCCTAGATTCAACGCCGGTTTAATATTTGGATAGAAAAGAAGTAAGAGAAAAGCAGAAAGAAGAAACAAAAAAGTTCTTTAATGTACCACGGATATAACGTGCGATACCATATCGTATCAGATCTGCCGAGTTGCAAAGAGAATGCAGGAACGTGTACGTGCGGGGGAGGGGGAGCGGCGAGTATGAGAGTGAGTAACCACGTCCTGAGACCTCTCCCAACGATCCATTTAGGCACATTTCATTATTTCTTCCGATATAGATTGATACAAGAAACATTTCTAAAGGAGTAGCCCCTATTAAAAAGGAAAGAGGATATGAAGGAGATAGAGAAGTATTTTTTCACTTGTCAATCGTATATAACGCCATTTGACAAAACGGCCAAATTCCTGTGAAATTCAGACTTTTGGCCAATTTCCAGTGGAATTGGCAAAACGGCCAAATTCTTGTACAATTTAGATTTTTGGCCAGTTTCCACTTGAATCTGGCCACGGCCAAATTCCAGAATCCAAATTCCGCTTAGCCAAATTCCAGTAAACCAGAACTAAGGTCATCTTCTACTGCACTACGGAGTCAAAGAAAACTGTTACAAATGAAAACAAGATTGCCACAGCTAGTTATTATCGAACGAAAGTTATCTTGCTCTTTGGTAGTAAAACCCAAGATTATCCCTCAAACTCAAAAATTCGATTTGATCCTTCAAATTGGTATCGAAAACTTTCGCTTTCTTGTCGTTTCAAGAAAACCCTTCACTTTTCAATACTATAGTTGGAAGTGCTTCATATTTTTTGAAATGCATTGTGTATTAAAAACATGAGTGCATTACATTCTTTATTCTGCACGGTGTCTGGTGGAAGATCTGGCAGATATTCTTGATTTAGAAAATACTTCCAGTGGTTACTATGTAGATCGAGTATATTCACATAAGTAATAACTGATAAATTTTATTAAGGTTTGAATTGAATTGAAACTTACGTAAACTTCGCGGCTTGTCCACGTAACTCCGCTGGCAGAGATGTCATAGCGTTACCTTTTTTGCTCCTTTTGTTTTGACCATAGCTCCGTTACAAAACGTTCTAGAGAGCTCAGTAACATCTCAAATTGAAGAAAAAGTTGTTTTAAAGATTGTAAGATGCATCCGCTCCCTGAAAAATGTTTTCTTAAAAATCTACATGCAAAATGGTGAGACCTACTTTTTACGGAAAAAAGCCGAAATGTACCTCTCCACATTTTCATCACAGTTTTTCGAAGGAACACTTTCCAGGAGGCGGACAAATCTCGAAATCTTTAAAACAACTTTTTCTTCAATTTGAGATGTTCCGGAGCTCTATAGAATGTTTTGTAACGGAGCTATGCTCAAAACAAAATGAACAGAAAAGGCAACGCTATCACATCTCTGCCAGCGGAGTTACGTGGACAAGCCGTTCAGTAGGTAAAAATACTTTAAATCGATTTACTAAACAAAAACTTATGAATAATTTCATATTTTAAACTCATTCCTCTATTATTAAAGAAAATTCAAGATGATCTCTGTTTGTAGCAAAAAGAATGGAGGGTCATGACAAATAAGAAGAGTTGCCTGTCAACGTAGACATAAAGACCTCACAATCTGTCCTGTTCCTTGTGTTTATATTAGTTACTTATTATTTTCCCTACAGTTTTTAAGTGGAAGGTCATAGAAACTTCGGAAATATCTCACACTGTTCAGAAGTGAACGCGCTATCGACCAAACTGGTTTAATCGTCGCAGATAGATAATGTTCTTGAAACAAGATGTTGACTGCTAAGAAGACAAACTGCTAACTGTCAGGAATGACTCTGGGTGCAGTAGTTCTAAACACTCCTAGTGTTTCTGTGGGATAACTCTAGACAGTTTCGCGTAGAGTGCTCTTTTTATCTGATGGAGGAGAGGACAGTATTCTTTTCTCGCCGTTTGTGTTCGATGATCTCTGTTATCAGACGTTAGAAATGAAATCCACGGCTGCTGTCAAACTGTGAGAATAGAAAGTAATTACATGTTATTTCTGCAGCTCTTAGAGTCAGCATTTTTGAAAATCTACTTAAAATTGTGACTTCTTTATGCTTAAGTCTTAATTTTCATAGCCGTTCAGCGAAAGTTCTGCGTCATAAAAGTTGTCATATTTCGTTAAAGTCGTCTTTCTTATGCAATGATGTATAGATAACGATTCAATTGACTAGACTATGACAATAATCTTGACATGTATAATGACTGTTTATTTGTTCATCCGCCATCTTTGCTCTCATTTTAGCTGTTTCTTCTTAATATATTATTCTTTTTCTGTCCTTTTCGGTCAATTTTTTTTCGTCTAACAACCTTTGTAATAGACTACTTTTCTTTTCCTTAAAGGTGTTCTTTCCTCTGATTTTCTCCATTCCTTCTTAACATATTATATAAAGACGTGTTCTCATGAGCATAATAACGAATATCTTCATAATTTTCATATGATTTAAAATTCTGAACATTTTTACTATATAATTATGTGCTATCGCAGTGGACGGGTAATTTTGAATTATGTACTTAGAAAAATAATTACAATACTTTTCTTTTTCTTAAAGGTTGCTCAGTCAAGAAGTGCTGTTTTGGTTATGTTTCCAACTCATAATGGTAATCAAGGTAGAAAGTAATGAAAAGCAAGAGTTAAACATTCTTTAATTTAAATGCTTTTTCTTGTTTCATTATATAGTGAATATAGTAAGATATGTAGTATCCAACATAAATGTAGAAATCGTCGATATAGTTGATAGGGCGTATGATGATGGACAGCATGGTATTTGTGTCATGTAAGTTTTCTAGTTTCTAACATGTTTATTATTGATTGCATAATGTTTCTTTCATTTGTTCTTTAGAATGGCTCGAAGTGAAACAGCACAACGAGTGGTTGATGTTTTCCGTCTTATGCGATCGCCATGGAACATTACGGTATGCCCGTTGCCACCGGAAGATCAATAAAAAAAGGTGTATACTCAAAAAGGTATGGATTGTTCGCGTGCAAGCAATTGTATCATCGCTGTGAATATCACCAATATTTATCAGATTTCTTAATTGAACTGTCTGTCACTCTATCCTGATTTAGTTATTCAGATTGTAGAGTCAGCGAGGTAATGCCGCAGTGCAATGATTCTAATTTGTTCTCTGCTACTCTATTAAATTACTTCATGGTATGAAAAGTGAAACAAGTTCACACTGTAAGTAAAGAAAATGTGAATATTACATATTAATATACACAGTTTCAAAGAAAAAACATGCGATCTAGTATATTCTATTGTCTATAGCTGATTAGTTGTCCACAAAACAGACTAAAATTGTTCTCTTAATAGTTTGTTCTTAACATATAGGTTCTTATAAATCTAATAACGGATATTTTAATTTTGATAATTATTTTTCAGTATACACCAAGGAATGTGGCCTATTCACAGCTATCAAGCATTAAAAAATCAAAACAATTTGTTTATCTTTTATAGTTATTAAAAACTTGTGTATAATTATGTCGTGCGCTATCACGTGTGTATGTTTTTGTTAATACAATTGTGTATAATAAAAAAAATAGATAAAGCAAAGAATATATTTTGAAGTAATGGTTCGTGTAAGATAGATGTTAAAGATCCTGCTGACTGCTGAATTATTAGTAGAAAAGAAACTACGATTTCGCCTGCGCCATGACTATCTTTCCTATTTCATATTTATCAAGAAAATTCTTGGATAGTTCCCTCTATTATTAAAGAAAATTCAAGATGATCTCTGTTTGTAGCAAAAAGAATGGAGGGTCATGACAAATAAGAAGAGTTGCCTGTCAACGTAGACATAAAGACCTCACAATCTGTCCTGTTCCTTGTGTTTATATTAGTTACTTATTATTTTCCCTACAGTTTTTAAGTGGAAGGTCATAGAAACTTCGGAAATATCTCACACTGTTCAGAAGTGAACGCGCTATCGACCAAACTGGTTTAATCGTCGCAGATAGATAATGTTCTTGAAACAAGATGTTGACTGCTAAGAAGACAAACTGCTAACTGTCAGGAATGACTCTGGGTGCAGTAGTTCTAAACACTCCTAGTGTTTCTGTGGGATAACTCTAGACAGTTTCGCGTAGAGTGCTCTTTTTATCTGATGGAGGAGAGGACAGTATTCTTTTCTCGCCGTTTGTGTTCGATGATCTCTGTTATCAGACGTTAGAAATGAAATCCACGGCTGCTGTCAAACTGTGAGAATAGAAAGTAATTACATGTTATTTCTGCAGCTCTTAGAGTCAGCATTTTTGAAAATCTACTTAAAATTGTGACTTCTTTATGCTTAAGTCTTAATTTTCATAGCCGTTCAGCGAAAGTTCTGCGTCATAAAAGTTGTCATATTTCGTTAAAGTCGTCTTTCTTATGCAATGATGTATAGATAACGATTCAATTGACTAGACTATGACAATAATCTTGACATGTATAATGACTGTTTATTTGTTCATCCGCCATCTTTGCTCTCATTTTAGCTGTTTCTTCTTAATATATTATTCTTTTTCTGTCCTTTTCGGTCAATTTTTTTTCGTCTAACAACCTTTGTAATAGACATAAAATCGCTATTTAAGATCTACCCAGGTCAACGGTCGCGGTGCCATCGCTATAAAGTCGCGCTGTCGTGGCGCGATCTCGGTAAAAACGTATTTTTTTAAAAAAGTATCTTATGAGACGAAGCGAATTAAAACTCGCGGAGTGATCTCTGATGTCTCGCTATTACGCGACGCGATCGCTAAAAACTCGCGTTATCGCGACGTGACTCGCGCTATTCGCGAGTTTCAATAGCAAAATGCTCCCAAGTGCACTTTCGAGACTGATTCGCGGCGCCGTCGCGCTTAAATCTTCTATTCGCGTCGCGATCGCTATAATGTCGCCAAGTCTAAATTGTTACAGTAATTTTTTTTGAATTGCAAGAACGCATTCTTGCGTTCTACAACAAGCATTTACTATCTTTTAGTCTCTAGGCTCAACTCTGTACAGTGTTTGTGGAAAGCGGGAGAGGGTAAATGCGCATAATTCCATAAAAACTGCTACGTCCGTTTGTGTCATAATGTCCCATAAATGACTAATCTAATACACGTAAATGATATGATCTAATTATGATCATAAAATGTGACAAATATAATTGTAAGAAAATGATCATTTTAGATCAGAAGTTAAAAATGATGTAAAAATGGCACATAAATATCACANATGACTCAAATATGATATCATTTTAAGCTCATATTTAAATCATTTTAGGATTATAATATGATCATTTTCACTTCATATCATAAATGAGCCATACATGTCTCATTTCTAGCGACCTGGGTATTATATGGTCCAATTGCGCAAATTTCGTAGAAAGAAATTACTACAAAAGATTATTTAGATAACACATTAAAAAACAATCATTAGCTTGTAGTTAAACATAGTCAAGCTGCACATGTCACAAAATCTTTCGTTCTAGAATACTTTTGTGTAAAGAACAACTAACACTTGATCAACACAAGCATAAATATTTCGAAACTGAAAACGAAATTTTATGTGGTGACTCAAATTTTCTGGGTGGGCTGAGCTCATCCCAGCCCACTTGTGGCGCCGCCAGTAACTACGATAGCTCTGATCACTAAGCCTAGCAGAGATACAGATAAAGCCGATAGCTAAGCTTTTACTGCAAAAATGTGCTTCTGACTAATCTTACGCGATATATATTTTTATTGAAAATGATATTCAGTTATTTGATATAGTTGTAAGGTTCAGCTAATTCAAAATTCAAGTGAAATTTTTTCTGATGTTTGATTACACATTTAGATTCGTCTCATCGAGCTGATTCCGAAAAACACCTTCGAAATTTTCAAAAACCTTTTCTTCGAGGAGAAAATCTCAAATTACTGAGAATGTGTGAAAACCGGGAAAAAAGGACCTCTATAGTAAAAATTATTTTTCGAAGGCATATTACACAATGAAGTTCTGGAAGTCTTTTTTTCTGAATCAGCGTTCAAAACTAAATCATGAAAATGTGTCTAGAACTTTACAAAAGTAAACGCTCGTCCAACAGCCACGTCCAGATTTCAGAGGTCGAGATATTCGGAATCAGCGTCTAAAATCGAGTCGAATGATGTACTTTTTTATTCTATTCGATCACTTTAATTTTTTTTGAATTTTCGTCAAAGAATTACTGAGATTTTCATCAAAAACTGAAAATCAACGAAAATTTATCAAACATATATCATTCGACTCGATTTTCGACGCTGATTCCAAATCTGATATTTTCATTGCGTGAAACTTGAGTTCTGATGGAGAACACCATCTGAAAGTACTCGTAAAAACTTTTTCTCTTATTTTCTTGTTGCCCCAAGATTTTAGTTTCAGATAACGAAAACCGCAGGTCTCCAGCATCTTCCAGTGCAAAGTTATTAGACATACAGTGACTGGCCTTCTTTTTTGAAATGGATAGTAGCTGCACTTGAACTGAAAATACATGTGTATATATAGCAAATAGAAGAGAGAAAACAAGAGAAAGTAGTCTGATTAAATAAAGATGAAATATGTAACAGAACCAGGTATGCATCAATGTCAGTGTTTACACTGATCACACTGATACCGACGAACACTGATTTTTTAAATTTTGATTTATCGAATTTAACATCCTTAACAACATCACATTTTCTTATTCTGTCAACTAGCTTCGTCTTCCAAATGGACAATGCATAACATATGATTACTGCAGTAACCAACTTCGTGTGTTCTGACTGTCTTCTAAACTATATCTCCCTTCAGACGGAAGAATCCAAAGTAGCCCAAATCGAAAAAAGTCGGTATTTTCGGTGTTGGTATGGATACCGATACCGGTGCATACCTATTCATGATACTCCTTGTTGTTTTTCTTCGGGAGGTTGTCTATTACGTTAACTGAGCGGTCAACCGACCGATCAAACTAGGTGTTGTTACAGCTAGCTTCAACCGATCGATTAATCGTCCAGTTAGGCTAGGTCAAAGACGAAATATGTCAAAAAGAGGGAGGTTGTCTACTAGGTTAACCAGGCAGTCAACAGTTTTTATAACTTTTGGGTAGAATTAGAAGAAAATAAATATAACAGACGGCCTGTAATGTCTAGCTATTCGTCCAGCCGAACACGGTACAAATGTCGTTATTAATTATTTTTCATCACAAAAACCCGGCTGAAACAGTAGCAAAACAATGTCGCGTCGGGCACATAGTTTTTGAATTGAAGTCGTGAGCATTCAGCATTCCATTCAGTACTAGAAGTTCCGTGCATCCCAAAGGTGACGAAAGCCAGTCTTTCAAAGAAAATTTATTTGAGAACCTACAGGTGCTATTGACAATAAATTTTTCATTTTGAGACCATATTTCGTCATATTTCAAAAAGTCTTCGGCAAGAATTATTGTGGTGTTTTGGAGTACTTTTTCTAAGATAAATGGACATTTTTCAGTTTTGGTACTTATACATGGCGACCATAGCCCAGAACAAGACCTATCCGTCATCTCGAGTTATACGACTTTTAGACCAAAGGACAGACAACTACTATTTGTGTTCGAATTATTTAATTATCGGGACCGCTGACCAGTTATAACAACTATTAAAATGTATGTTTCGAACTATTATATGTTCGTTATTATAGTAAGAAAGCATCAACCTTACCATCCTTGACGTTATACGGTGCTCCGATTACACAAAAAGATCTAGTTATATACTCAGGTATGATTTTTACGAGTGACATGTCCTGGACATATCCTACAATAGACGATACCTAAGGTATCGTCTATTGTTGGATTAATGAAACTGCATAAGCATTTATTGACTAAAAATGCACTTGAAATTATTTTTAAATCTTATGCATTATCAATTTTGAACTATCGGACTATTATAATTTCTATGATCCTCACTTGATCACAATTGATGATCATGTTAGAATTAGTTCAAGAGTCACTGTACAGTGAAA